ACTGATACTTACGTGCATTTTGAGTTATTGAAATACACCGGTTCAATGGAGTAACCATAGCAACTGCCTCCAGCCAGCAACGCCGTGAACATGATGCCGACGTGGATAGAGACCTGAAGACACGCGACAAATACGTGAGGGTTGATTGTTAAGGTTCGGTGGGTCGGTGAGTACTGGGATATCCAAGATATGTATCCATCAACCACCACCCCCCTCCCCTTCCCTAGTTTTACTTTTGTCTGAACATTTTCTACCCCTTGAAGAAATATTAAGGATTTTACTGTGTAAACTATTTTTTTTTTCCTAAAACAAGTTTTTTAATGAGAAGGGAGGATTTATTGAATTATTCACGCCGCATTGGTTCAAACACGTTTTTTTTAAACTCACTGATGTTCTATGGCGCTTGAACGCAACTGCCGTCCCCGAAATGCCCGGGAATATGAACTGAAACGAAAAAAGGATTACAGGCTAAAGGGTTGTTAAAGGCATTCAGACATCGAGCTTATCGTCCTATTTTCAGCGTCTTTGGTTTTCTCTGCATATATGTCCAAAGTAGGAGTTATAAAATTCGTGTCGTGTGCAAATGGGTAATTCCACTGTGACGTATTTAGACCACGTCTTACCTTAAGTTTTTCAGCCTTTGGGTAGGCTTGATTGCTTCCTTTAGAGGTATGCTCGTATTGCAGATGAGACCCAATAGCAAACATCCACACTGCTATATATGAGCAGCGATGATTAGGTAAACATCCCTTGACGTGCAGACCATTGACCAGTGCGGGGGTGCCAGTGGAGATACCTGAGAATTGCATGGGTCTCACTGGAGACACTGAGAACAGCATGGGTCTCACTGGAGACACTGAGAACAGCATGGGTCTCACTGGAGACACTGAGAACAGCATGGGTCTCACTGGAGACTCTGAGAACAGCATGGGTTTCACTGGAGACTCTGAGAACAGCATGGGTTTCACTGGAGACACTGAGAACAGCATGGGTTTCACTGGAGACACTGAGAACAGCATTGGTCTCACTGGAGACATCTGAGAATAGCATGGGTCTCACTGGAGACACTGAGAACAGCATGGGTCTCACTGGAGACCAATGTATATATAAAATACCCATGCTTGCCATAATAGAGAGGTGAGAGGTGACTAACGGGATCGGGTGGCGGGACTCGCTGACCTGGTTGATGCATGTTATCGTTTCCCAATTGCGTGGATTGATGCTCATAGTGTCAGTCACTGGATTATCAGGTCTGGGAATTGAACACGGGTCTTCGGCATGACGTGCGAACGCGTAGGCCACTAGGCTACGTAACCCTATCGCCCCTATTCAAGCTATAGACCCGTGAAGATCCGGGGTAGAATAAGTAGATCTTCAGCAACCCGTGATTGCCGTAAATGGCGACTATACTTGTCATTAAAGCCGACTAACGGGATCGGGTGGTCAGGCTCGCTGACCTGGTTGATGCATGTCATCGTGTACCATTTGCGTGGATCGATGCTCATGATGTCAATCACGCGGCGTTAAACAACAAACCAACTATTCAAGCTATAAGATAGTCCGATGTTTGACTGCGTGAGATGCCGGTCACAATCATTCCACGGTGGTGCTCATGCTATCGACGACTGGTTTCCAAGCCTCGATGTTTTATATGCCGTCATGATATATTCTGTACGTTTATTTACTCATTCCTTTGCACTCATCACGACCGTGTGTTGGATCATACTCATAGACACAGATACGGGTGCACGCATGTATGTGTGTGGGGGACAGCCTCCGAGGCTTGCCAGGGTTGCTCATAATATCAACCACTGGTTTATCTGGTCAAAACTCGACTACCTACAGGCCGCAGTAATTGAAATGGATTATTGCTGACTGTGGCGATACATAACAATCACTCATCATGTCTGTTACTCCATTTCGTTACGGTGCAGTGGGGTAGTCTAGTTTTTAAAGCGTTCGCTCGTCACGCCGAAGGCTCGGGTTCGATTCCCCACATGAGTACAATGTGTGAAGCCCATTTCTGGTGTCCCCCGTCGTGATATTGCTGGAATATTGCTGAAAGCGGCGTAAAACCATACTCACTCACTCACTCGTTTCGTGTCACCAGTTATTGTCTGTCCTATCCTATCAAACTCACAAGTTACAAACCATACCTTAAAATTTCAGATATCACTGCATTATATTTTTGCACAACTCAGTATGTTTTGGGGTGAGGGGTTGGGATTAGGGATTTTGGGGGTGCTACTGGAAGCAAGACACAGCAAGAATGTTCCAACTGGTCGTATATCTTGTCCTATGGCTATAAACATGTACACCCCACTCACGTGTCAGTTTATGAAATTACAGCCCGGCCCCACTAACGTGGTCATTTTACGACAATGATGACCATATACCGCATATCAATATTCACTTTAGTCGCATATAAATCAAAGAAATGTCAATAAAGCAAACACTCTGTGTCGATTTAACATGTATCGTTTATGAAAACTTAGGCCTTGCAAAACAATCTGGCTTTCTGATAGACTTAAAGTCTCCCATACCAACAAAGAGCTAGTACTGTCCGCGGCAAAGTATTGCGCTTTCTCAAGTATTCAACCAATCCATATATCTTGGAATCCCTTTTTAAATATGTACTAATAAAACTCTCGAATGTGACACAACCATCGCGGAAACGTGACCTTGACCTTGACCCAGCAATCAATACAACTAAAAGGCGAAGCAATATCAAATTTATTGTTTAGACTTTAGCGTCGTCCTCACGAGTGTCTCGTCATAGTGGTTATTGATGGTATCATTTTAGGTTCATGGTTATATATTTTATAGTTTCAAATATTTTTTTAACCTGTTATATTTGATTTGTTATATTACGCTTGCCTCGTAAAGTATTCCTGTCTTGCATTGGTCATTGCCACATGGCGAGGGCATCTGACGGGGTATCGGGGCACGCACTCAGGCAGAGTTTCACAAGGGAAAGTAAGTACCTTGCAAAGAGTACCTCGGTGAATACGATGAAAACACACGCCTATATAGAATATCTATGTGTCGTAAAGTAAAGACATTAGGTATTTTCTTTCTCTTTTACGCCCATTAATCTAATTTAACACGCGGTTTAGGACAAGGGCGGATAACTCTAAACAGATCTAAGGGAGCATCCATTTGATTTGTCAGGAGGGGGTGTTTTTCGAGAACAATCTTTTTTGACTAGCTGTTTATTTACTGAGCACCATCAAACAATATATGCATTTTAACACAACAATTTAGGGATTTTCCAAAAACAACTGCTAACAAACTATTCATTTTTCTGAGCAAACCTTTCATTAAATAATCTCTCCCCAACAGTAATAAAATGGATGCTCCCTAATGGCATTTGTCACCATTCGCATCTATTCGGTTCCATTCGGCTAATTCTGTTACTTACATATGGGCATCATTGAACTGATTTGAGTCAAGAGCATTCGCTTCTTTCCGTACACTCGTCACCACTCGCCCCTTTCCGTAACCTACAAGAAGACTCGTCCCCCTATCGATGAATGTTATGTACGAAAGTACGACAAACCAATCAGAATGCGCGTATGACTTCAATTACTTCGGCCAAAGAATCCCTCAGGAATAATTTTTGATTTTACATATGATCTTGCATTTATAAATATACCAAAGATACATCAAAATGTGTTCAACTATATTGTATAATAATGTAAGTCCTAATGTGTTTTCAGTAGCATCGGGAATATATATCACATATGGGGGAAATATACGTGAATCATTACCCAACGAGTTGACAATTCTTTTAGCGATGCCCGTTTGCGCTTAGACGGAACTCAGTCGCAAAAAGGCCACGAGAGAAGAACGATCGCTATTCGACTTGTCCCGGAATAACACGAGCTGGTCACAAATACTCTCCGTAACAAACAATTGCCTTTCGGCTTTTCCCGTAAAAACACGAGTAGGTCACGAATGACATAAAAGGGTATGGCGACTGTACTGTTGATCTAATTTGCACTCATTGTTAAAAATTGACTTAATATATATTATAGATAAGTATATATGATATGATGTGCCGTCCTCCACAGTGTCACCTCGGGTTACCATGTGATGTTGGGATGAGTAATAGCGTTACACCCGTGATGGGGGCTGACAGTCTGACGGTTGAAAAAGCTCGTGCTAAACCCTACCCTCAAATCAAATGGATGTCCATAACCGAAGCCTGCCAAATTAAATCATTAAATCTGATGAGTGTTCAGATGTATCAGTTTGTGGACTACTCGTTCCCGAAAAGATGTATTTCATCAGGTGCAGAAAGCATGTTCAATGAGTATGAGTACACGGCTATACTCTGTAGGTCTCAAGAGTTGGAAGCGAAATGTCTAATTGGGAATCGTGTCACCGGAGTAATGGCAAATGCTATTTGGATACACGTATAACACGAAGCTGACTGAAGTTTTATCTTTACTCAAACGTATAAAAGTCAGAACGAAATGCAAACATAAGCGACTCATGTTGTTACTGTAATTAAACAATACATCACGTGATTTACCAAGGGTCCGGGTAGACCAGTGGCATAAAACCTAACGAGGGACGCATACATCCCCTTGCTCGTAGCGGGTGGAAGGGACTTATTCGCCCCTTGAAAAATGTATTCCCATCCAAGGCAGACATCGTACTTTATCAGGATCACGTGAACCAATCACATCTCATCATTCTGACATGTACGTATGATAATGAAATTTGATTCAAATATTCTTTGGTGAATGTTCCTTGACATGTATATTATAATCATTTCTATTTCCAAAGGATTTTGAAATATGATATTATGGTGATTTTTAGGGTATACTTTGTCCCTAGTAGGCCACTTGAATATGAGGTGCTTACGATGTGTGACCTGGTTTGCTGCATGTAATAGTAACGGATGGCTGCACTGCCTACGTGCGTTTTGTTGAAGCTGCTGGTGATATATCCTGTTTGGCTGCATTTCATAGTAACCGGATACCTGCACCGATTCAGCCTTGTGAAAATCCCAGTATCTGATTCTTTACAGACAAGCTGGTGGTCACATGCATTGCACCTGTATGAAACTTGCCTGACCACATTACAATCTTCACTCTAGGACTGGGCGTAGTCCGCTGCAAATGCACAGTGAGTATAGATGTTCTTGCTACATTATTAGTATGATATAATACGTTGTATATTTAAATAGCAGTTTGGATTTTATATTATTGAGCAAATGTTCTTTTTCTTGTGTGAATAAAACATAGTTAGTTTCACTGACTGAAAGATTATAAGTCGAGGTCATGGAATGTAGATACAGTTTCAATTACATTTTCTACATCTCTGACACAAGAAAGTATATGAAGTTAAAACTGTTTCTGGGGTATGTTTGGTCACTATGCAGTATCCTGTGTCGGACTGATACGATGGCTTTTCAGGATTAACATTATGCTTAGAAAGATGGCCGCAGAGTCGCCCAGCTCTCTCAAAAAAGTACTCCTGGTTTTGTTTGTTTTTATCAGGGGAAACATATTCAGTTTACATTGGGAGCAACATGCAGATTTGAGATGCTGGTTTCAGAACAAACATTGTGTTGGGATTCCTTGCCACCAGGGAGTCGGGACCCACCCCTACTTTGAAAACCAAGTGTAGTCTGTTGTAGGCAGTTGAATTATCTGAGAGAGGATTTTGAAATTTTGGACCCCTCCTTTTAAAAATTGCTGGCTCCGCCCTTGATGAATGTAACATTTGTATGCAATTGGAACTTAAAATGTTGTTCGCATCAACATTTTTTCCCTATTCCCTTGAAATAGATAGTCTTGAAACCTCGTACATGCAGAGAACAAGGCACCTTTCCTGTACCCCTATAAACCTTTCTTTATTGGTCAGTTTTATTTGTTTGTTTGTTTGTTTGTTGTTTAATGCCGCACTCAGCAAAATTCCAGCTATATGACGGCGGTCTGTAAATAATCGAGTGTGGACCAGACCATTCAGTGAGTGACATCATGAGCATCGATCCACGCAATTGGGATCGATGACATGCATCAACCAAGTCCGCGAGCCTGGCCACCCAAATCCCGTTAGTCGCCTCTTAAGACAAGCATAGTCGCCTTGTACGACAAGCACGGGTTGCTGAAGACTTAATTTACCCCGGATCTTCACGGGTCGGTCAGTTTTAACTACAGTCTTATACATAAACCTATCACGGATATTGACCATTGTTTTTGAAGGTACTCGTCATAGCCTCTTAATAAACGGTTATATCAATGTCGGGTTTGGGTTTTACTGGTTTCTAGTAAGATCTGATGCGTAGAGAAAGAGAGGGTTTGGAATTAGTGTTTCAAAATAGGTGGTTCATTAGAAGGCACCATGTCTGGAATATATTTCCTAGTACAGATATATTTTTCGATCAGTTCTTTAGACTGTTGTACCACACTTTCATAGGGTTGGCGTATTGACACATAAATGGTTTAGCAAAATAATACGGAGAGCTGTATTGCGATAGATATTGCAATATGTTTGACACAACATTCGAAAGAAGCTTTTTGACAGCTGTAGGCAAACAAGATCACCATAGACCCTCATAGCTCATAGTAGTGAACCCAGGAATCACCGATGGTTACAAATTGCCAACCAAAATCACCTGGCTCTGCTTCAAACCAGCTCCTACTTTTAACAAGTTCAAGTATCAGGGATCTCTCCAAGCACTTAGTCTCCGTGGTCTAGTCGTGGAGCGTCCGCCCGGAGAGCGGAAGGTCCGGGGTTCGATCCCCGAACGCGTCATACCAAAAGACGTTAAAAGATGGTATTTGTTGTTACCCTGTCTGGCGCTCGGCATTAAGGGGCTAAAACAAGGACTGGTCGGCTCGGAGTCAGTATACTGTGTCTGAGTGGGGTATTCATGTTAAACTGCGGCACTATACATCGGCATCAGTCCGGACTAGTACAAGCAGCCACACAAACACACACACGTACATGCACGTCGCTATATAAGTGCAATAATCTTGGACGCGACGTTAAACCCCATTTCACTTCACCTCACCAAGCACTTAGTCTATTCAGCTCAGTCTGGTCAAGTATTCCTGACTATGACTGTTTGTGCGGTGTCACACGTGGTTGACAAAAGTAGTTGGAACAGTCATCTTCACATTTATCTGGCTGTGTCACTAAATTTATCAAAGTTTCTATTGAACTGGTAAGGGCGGGAAGAGAGGAACCATTTTGTTCAATCTTGTTGATACACGTCCGAATGATGTCCTTTTAAATTGTACGTTGATTACATGTCATATTTAATCGTCAGTGATTACGCAATAACCAAGGAGATGCATGTGTTCTTGTGAGGTCATATTGACATGACTGACCTGTCAGATCACTCGTATATGTTCTGCTTTATTGGTCATGATACAAGTGAAACACTACAAAGTAACTTGAGTTATGAATGGGAAATTTTTAATTCCAGTTTGAGACTATTTTCTGAATTTTTCTGCAGACCTTTGTCCAAAATCGATCCCTGGGCAGGTTAAGATAAGTCCCTGGAAGACCATACCATCCCAAGTGCATAAACAGTTGCATTAATGTGTTACATTAAAATTGCTTTTTTGTTCAGATGGACCAGAAAATGACAACTTCATCCCTGCATGACGAAGCTGTGTAAAGAACTAAGACTGAGATGGCCAGTTCAAGTGATGTCACACGTGTGTCATTGCCACAGGAGGAGGATGACCAGATGATTGAGGTCATCACCTCAGAAGAAAATACGATGAGCGCCAACTCAGGTATATTTACCGTTCTCTTACAAAGCAGAAGTAAATGAACCGAGTTTCATAACTGGTTCAATCCAAAACTAAGTTTTAAACATAACATGACATACCAAAGACCTGAACCTGGGAATTAAGTCATACGTATTAACCACATCGAGGCACTGCTTATAATGCAGACTCCATTGTGTTGTATTTGGAATAGAAAGCGTGAAGTTTTGAATTTAAAGGATTTACAGGTATCGAATCGAAGTTTGAAACCTCAGTATTGAAAACAGTTTATCTCCACTGTGCCACATCACAATGACAAAGCAATTGCGAAATATTTGGTTATAGTGGGAAAGATTGGTGACGTGGCATTGGTTGAGCCTAATATTTTCAGTAGGTTGAAAGAGCAAATTCAAGGACCATTGCAGATCAATTTTTATCTACATGTGCCAGCCATTTGTACCCAAACCTAAATTTTCCTCATAATACTTGAACTACTTCAACGTGAGATAACAAAGCTCATAGGCAGATATCCTGTAAGCATTACTCTAACTGACATCCCTTGAGAAAATTACCTTTTTGTTCGTAAGTACACATCAATATTATGATGTCATAAGGTTCTACAGATGGGAAGTCTAAGTATTGTGATGCAGATAGTAAAACCGTGTTGATGGCACTGAATTGTACAGTACATTCTCTTAGTATATTTCAACACATTGCTGTAAATAATTTAGGAAGTGCAACATGTTATTTCCCTCCTATTGACCTATTTCACCTCTCATATCACTTGCAATTGTTTTAAATAAAATGGCGGTGCCAAGTCAAGGCGATGTGATCGATAATACATAGATCCGACCGTGAGCCATTTTACCAATAGGGCGCCATTTTGTCCCCCAAGCGCTAACGTTATCCAAGGCCTTTACAGCCACGTGTTGTATTTGTGTTTTTGGCAAAAAGGAGACATTTTAGGTATTCGCATGAAGGCCTATCGCGGTGCACTTTGAAGTTTCTAGAATATGGACGAGGTCTGTAATTGGTTAAGAACACCCAAGAATGCTCTTGCACTCGTCAATTTCGTAGCGGCGATGTAAGCGCAAGCGGTGCCGAACTTTTGACGGCGTTCGTACAAGCAAACCATTTGAAAATTGTATTATGGAAGAGGTCGAAATCGATATAGAGCACCCTTGGACACTCTTGCATACGCGAATTTCATGGGAGCGATATTCTGCAAGCGGAGCCTTACTGTTGACGGAGTTGGTACTAGCAAACCATTTGAGGATTTGAATATGGCCGACTATTTTTGCGTACGTTTGTACGCACGGCACTTTGAACCTGCCATTGCTGCTTACATTTATATATTAATTTAGATATATAACTTGCTGAAGTTATGTGCATCACATTCGAGATTTCGTCCCACACCCTGATGTTGTTTTCATGTATACAGTCGGCAATCTAAAGGCAGGAGAGGTTTATTGTATTGGAGATGCGCGAAGCACTACGACACATTGAAATTAAACCTTGAGAACTGTCAGCGACATACCGACGCAACACGGAGCAAACCATGCATGTCAGTGTATGAGCAGTGTTACCTATTCACCACGACTGCTCTTCGTGTATGGGTGTGCCGGCCTTACCTGTCCGACGCCCAGTTGGCGGTAAATCAGCTTTGCAAATCCTTCACTCATGGATTTACAGAATCTGAGCTGCAGTTTCTCGAGAATGAATGAATGAATGAATGAATCAGAGTTGTTCAGGAGGATTGATTCTATACCCCAGATTTCACTATTATATAGGATTACTGGCTTGACTAATATTTTGAATAATTTGCAAGTAAGAGCTGTAGGTTATGGAGAATGTAGAAGCTTGTAGTAGGCCTTTGGGCCTTTTCCAGGAGAGGTTTAGCACTACTTTTATGTTTACCATTTGCTTCAAAAGTAATTCCTAAGTAATTATATCTATCCGTAACTAGTATTTTTGTTTCACTAACATTAATTTTGTTTCGTCATCATTTATCTTTAGGTTATGTGTTGCTCAAAATACACTTAGACCATCAAGTGATATTTGTAGTTTTGGGGCGGTCGGGTAGCCTCGTGGTTAAAGCGTTCGCTCTTCACGCCGACGACCCGGGTTCGATTCCCGACATGGGTACTATGTGTGAAGCCTATTTCTGGTGTCCCCCGCCGTGATATTGCTGGAATATTGCTAAAAGCGACTTAAAAACATACTCACTAACTCATTCACTTGTAGTTTTCTTTGGAATCGGCAAACAGTTCTGGGTAATCAGTAAACAACAAATGACAAATGTTTAAACCATTAAATGTTATATTATAACTTTCAGATTTGATATTAAGTGGAAGATCATTGAGGAATATATTAAATAATGTGGGAGACAAGATGCATCCTTGTCTTACCCAGATGTTGGAGTTGAAGGATTGTGAAACTTCATAAGAGATATCATTATATAGTTATGATATTATTTTAATACATTTCCTCAGATTTTAGGAGTCAGGAGTAGTGATCTGTCAACTGAAACAAATGCCCTTTGAAAGTCTGCAAAACAACTGTATAGTCTTTTCTTTTTACTTTTTGTAAAATATATTAATGTTTAAAGAACAAATCCATTATCTGATGTTGAAAATCACGACTGACAGTGCTCTTGTAAAACAGGTTTTTCCATGTGTACCATTATTCTTTCATTCAAGAAGGTGCAAAATAGTTTACCCAAGAAGCTGCTTAGTGCAAAACGCCTGTAGTTGTTTGGGTCAGTCTTATCACCCTTCTCATGCAAGAATTCATTGGAATAGAGCTAGCTGGGGCTGGCTAGACTTGCCTTTGTATATCTAGAATGGTTTTTATTTTATGATAAATATATTCTACGGTCATGGTTCATGACAAAACTCTGTGAGAAGTGACGACTATCGAAGACATTAAACAGTTTAACCAACTGCTCTATCAATGTACGATATATTGATTTTAAAAGTTAATTCCTTGTTATCATCGCCTGCTGTTATTTGTTTTTAAGACTTCACATATGCATACTTCTTTTTTTAGTGTTGTAAATATACCTGGAGTGGTTTGTTAGATTCTCAAGATCAGGATAAATATATTCTTATATTATTATTTAATAGTTTCCAGAAGTGGTTCCTGTTTTGATAAGGTTTCCAGTTGTTCCAGCTGAGTTTGTTTATATACATGTTGTGTTCTTCTGAGTAACTTTTGTATTTATTTCCTGTGTTGCAAAAGAAGACCCCTATTATTAATTGATACATTGTTTTCTTATTAAAACCATGATTTTTTTCGTCCCCATTACGTTTTGCCTCTTAACATTCAACATCATACCATTATTCATTTTGGTACATTTGATTTATTTTTGCAAGGCTTTGTTGATGATTTGTTGACGGTTTGTAAAATATCCGAGAGGGCACGAACGAGTGCGTCACATTCAGAACTATCTTGTGGGCTGGAGGTTAACATACAATTGTTTATGAAAGTTTGAATATTTAAGCTAAAAAGTAGCATTTTCAACACATATGTGACTGTTGGAATGCCAGCGTCTTTTACCTCTGTGTTTAGTAAAGATTGTGGCCCTATTAAAAGATATGCCATTTATATGAAAACATATTTTGAAAGCACTTAATGCAGAATAGAACATATATGTAAATATTATGATTGTAATGTAAATAGACATTTTAACTTTTCATATGTGTCGTTCACATTGTGAACATATCCTATAACTACCATTCTTTCTCTTCTCTTCTTTCACTTCGTTTAAATAGAGCAAACCCAACTCATTGATCCTCTTACTCTGTGCTGACCATAAGCATAAATTTAAACCAGGTGGCCTAATGTAGGCTGACAGGCACTGGTGCTCTACATGGTCCTGCTATGCAGTGTGGGTGACATGGCATTTTGCCCAGAAGTAATCAGCAACATCATGGTCTAAGTAGATTTGAAACATCTGGATAAAAATGTCAAGGTAGAATCATAACTGATTTATGAAGTTAAATACAAAAGACTAGCCACTGTTGAAAAAGTAATCATATAGTGATTGTATTTAAAAGACTAGCCACTGTTGAAAAAATAATCATTTAGTGATTGTATTTATTTGTAATGGGAAACTAAACATCATCCGCTCTTAAATCAAACTTGGGCACCAATGTGAAGGACAGAAAAATGGTAAAATATATTTACCTGAACCTTGCACATGTATATTGTGTATAAAGAGAAATAAAGCATTCAATAAAATAATGTTACTGCAAGTTACATCATCATTATAATCTTAGTACTACGATTTTTGTAACGTTCATTATTAAACAAGGCTTACGAGGGCATATTTACCCTTTTGAAGTAAGATGTATATTTGGGATATTCGGAAACATTATTGTCTGGGGAGTGACAAGTACGGATGTGTATTTAAAGTAGGTGTGTAATTAGATACAAACAAATTACTACTACATGTATCGATGATCTCGCCACATCAAGTAGAGCCTTTCATTATTGGTATATTAGGAAACAGGAACTTATTCATAATTGAATGATAGTCAAATTGTTAGGGCTTTACGATACACTTTATTGTGATATGACACATACGTATCGATAGTTAAATGGCAGTAATTGTTTAGATTTGTTTCTTGCTCAACATAATATTCCAGCCTGGACCTCAGACAATCCAGTGATTGATATTATGAGCAACAATCGAAAATGTCAGGGTATGATGGCACTCTATCAACTAAGCCCTAAGCCTGACTATCCAATCCATTCATTCGCCTCTTATGACCAGCATTGATTGCTTAGGGCCAATTGCAACCTGGAATCTCCACTGGGATAGTGAAGTTGCAATACATGAAACCTGAACACGTTGCGTGAGAAGGAAACATTTGTTGTACACCTAATACTGGTTTCATTAAAGTTTGAATTTGATACGCCCGGCTCCGTGGTCTAGTGGCGGAACGTCCACCCGGAGAGCTGAAGGTCCGGAATTCGATCCCCGGCCGCGTCATACCAAAAGACGTTAAAATATGGTACTTGTGTTTAACCTGCCTGGCGCTCGGCATTTAGGGGCTAAAACAAGGACTGGTCGGTATTCATTTTAAACTGCGGCATGGTATCTCAGTGGGCTAGCACTATAAATCGGCATCATGACAGTGACAACGGTCAGTATTTCAAGCTATATGCAAGAAGGTGAGCTACATGGGTTTTTGCCATGTGATGTTTTGTAGATAGTTTGTTAAATATTAACAGTGTAATCCATTTGTGTCCTTGAAATGTTGTTGATAGGCGATGCCTGTAAAGCCATCACCCTCGTCCAGACGCAGAACATATTTACTGCACCAACAGCTGCAGGGACAGTTGGTGAGGGTAAGTAACATAAGCCATGTCAACACCCCCACAGGAAAAAAACAAACAAAACAAAGCAAAACAGAAAAAGAAACATAAAACACCCAAAAAGGTTTAAAGAAATCTCAAGTGTTGGTCTGATATTGAAAATCTAATATCTTCTGCATAAACATGATAAATAATGATGACTGATAACTGACACTAAATGTACACAAAATATGATGTCATCATCAGAGGTAACAAACATGCCAAAGTTCAGCTTTCTCCGTGTGGCCCTTTTAGAGAGACCCATGAAGATCCGGGGTAGAATTGGTCTTCAGCATCCCATGCCTGCCGTAAAAGGTGACTATGCTTGTTGTCAGAGGCGACTAATGGGATCAGGTGGTCAGGCTAGCTGACTTGGTTAATGCATGTCATCGAACCCAATTGCATGGATTGATGTTCATGATGTCAATCACTTGATTTGCTGGTCCAGACTCGATAATTTACAGACTGCCCTCATATATCTGGAATATTGCCGAGTGTGGTGTTAAACAGCAACCAAACAAACAAACACTTTCCGAGAAGAAATTTAAGAGCCAACTATGCTGAAAATAGGGATCTGATAGTGGAGCTTTAGTCAAATAGGTTTCAAAACCACAGAGCATTACCACTGTCAAATCATGTCATAATTAAACCGTATAATAATGATTGCTTTTATTTGTAGCTACCCTTGACATCCAAATAAGTGATGCTGAAGAAATCTTTGTTGAAACGGAGAGTTTCGGGACTATAAAACAAAAACTGAAGGAGTTTGGCCATGTCACCATCTGTGGTGCTTCAGGAGAAGGCAAAACAACAGCAGCTCTCATCTTGGGTTCACAGTATAAGAGAAGAGGGTACAAGTTTGCCTTTGTGGACAGGATTGAACAGTTTGACTTGGACAGCTTCTTGAGCTCATCACCTAGAGTATTTCTGGTCATAGATGACATGTTTGGTACTGTTGGATTATCTACCGATGTTTCACAGCTGAAAACATTTCTCAATAAGCTTGATAGCCACTTGAAACACTGCAGAAAGTCAGCAGAGAAGCGTGAATCCCCGAGGAAACAGGAAGCTGAGAAAAGAGGTCAAAATATAGCAAGTAGAGATCCTGACCGAAAACCACAGCCCAAAAAGGATATTCGTGTTGTCTTCACATCCAAGACATACAACTTCCATGATGGACTTGGCCAGCTACAATATGAGAGATTCTCTCTGTTCCAGGGACCAACACGGGTGGATATAACAACTGAAAAGAAACACAGATATACTCAAGCAGAGAAACAGGCAATATTTGAGCACCATCGGAATCTGCATAGATACACTTCTGATGATAGACCCGACTTCAAACCGTGGGATAAAGAGTCAAACATATTTGGATATCCTCTCACCTGTAAACTATATTTTGAATTTTCGTCTATGTTCAAAAATACAAAGAACATTTTCGAGACACCACTGTCTTATCTTAGGCTAGAACTAAACAGCTTCCTGAAGTCAAAAACTGATCGATCCGCCATATTTGTTCTGATGCTATTATGTGATGATAAGTTAGATTTGGCCACGTTGGAAGCAGACGGCAAGGACAAGAAACTGGACAACATGGTCAGAAAGGTTTTAAAGTTGATGCCATCAGCGTCATGCTTAGGGATGTATGAAGCAGCAAAGTGTCTTAGAGGAACATTCTTTACACGGGGCGATGCTGTTCGATTTGCCCATTCTTCCATATATGATGCTTGTGCTTGTTCATTGTATGACATCAGTCCAACATTTGTGCTGACTCACTGCAGTGACAACTTCATATATGAGCGAGTCCAACCACAACCAGTAGAGGAAACCACAATCGATGATCATCTCCACCTAATATTTGTCTCCGAACAGTACTATGATATCCTGACAACTCGATTTGCAGAATCAATCAAGCAGGGGCAGTTTTCTAAATCAGTGACACACCCGATCCTCCGACAAGAAAAGGTGGCTCTTCAACTGCTTGATAAACTACGTGTTGGATCCCTGGATGACTGTTGGTTTCACAAAAGAGATATGGGGTATTGCTTTTTGAATTGGGCTGTTCTTGGACACTGTACAGAGATTGTCCTAGAAATAGAAAATATAACTGGAGGAGAATTTACTCGAACAGAGATCAATGAATCCATGGAAAGTTGTGTGGTGAACAACAACGTGACAGTATTGAAGTGGCTTATACCCAGGAGTGAAAATCCAGACATTATTCTAACCATGAACAGATGGCTTTTGCTGGCTGCTGCATTTGGGAGTTCTGAAACACTTGTGTATCTGATAGAACATGGTGCTGATGTGCTTACTACTGATGAGAGCAAGAGAAACATTATACACATAGCAAGCACGTTTGGACATAAAAACACACTAAAGGTTCTGAAAAAACACAAGAGCAAACTCTATCATGATGAAGTGAAGCAAGTTGTAATGAATTCTATTGATGACGAAGGGATGACTCCACTCATGGTTACTGCTTACAATGGATCGCATGAGTGTTATGAGGTATTGCAATCAATATCACACACAAAACACAGAGACAAAAGGGGAAATGAAATAATTCATCTTGCCTGTCAGGGTGGTGACACTTTTATAGTATCTCATCTTGTGTCATCTTCTAATATCAATACTAGAGGCCAGAATGGATGGACACCCATAATGATTGCAGCTTGGTTTGGATACCAAAGTGTGTTTGACCTCCTGGTGGCAAAGCAAGCTGACCTGTCACTGGTGAACAACAATGGTAATTGTTTACTTCATCTTGCCTGCAATGGTGGTAACAAAGCTATAGTACAACATCTTGTGTTTCCTTCTAATATCAACACTAGAGGACAGATTGGATGGACACCAATAATGATAGCAGCTGCCAATGGACACCAAAGTGTGTTTGACCTCCTAGTAGCAAAGCAAGCTGACCTGTCACTGGTGAACAACAATGGTGATAGTTTACTTCATCTTGCCTGTGAGGGGGGTAACAAGTCTATAGTATCTCATCTTGTGTCACCTTCTAATATCAACACTAGAGGACCGAATGGATGTACACCCATAATGATAGCAGCTTTCGTGGGACACCAAAGTGTGTTTGACCTCCTGGTAGCAAAGCAAGCTGACCTGTCACTGGTAAACAACAATGGTGATAGTTTACTTCATCTTGCCTGCCATGGTGGTAACAAGGCTGTAGTACAACATCTTCTGTCACCTTCTAATATCAACACTGGAGGACAGACTGGATGGACACCCATAATGATAGCAGCTGCAAGTGGACACCAAAGTGTGTTTGACCTCCTGGTGGCAAAGCAAGCTGACCTGTCACTGGTGAACAACAATGGTGATAGTTTACTTCATCTTGCCTGTGAGGGTGGTAACAAAGCTATAGTATCTCATCTTGTGTCACCTTCTAATATCAACACTAGAGGACCGAATGGATGTACGCCCATAATGATAGCAGCTGACAATGGACACCAAAGTGTATTTGACCTCCTAGTAGCAAAGCAAGCTGACCTGTCAGTGGTGGACAACAATGGTGATAGTTTACTTCATCTTGCCTGCCATGGTGGTAACAAGGCTGTAGTACAACATCTTGTGTCACCTTCTAATATCAACACTAGAGGAGAGAAGGGATGGACACCAATAATGATAGCAGCTGCCAGTGGACACCAAAGTGTGTTTGACCTCCTAGTAGCAAAGCAAGCTGACCTGTCACTGGTGAACAACAATGGTAATAGTTTACTTCATCTTGCCTGTAGGGGCGGTAACAAAGCTATAGTATCTCATCTTGTGTCACCTTCTAATATTAACACTAGAGGACATATTGGATGGACACCCATAATGACAGCAGCTCTCAATGGACACCAAAGTGTGTTTGACCTCCTGGTAGCAAAGCAAGCTGACCTGTCACTGGTAAACAACAATGGTTATAGTTTACTTCATTATGCCTGTGAGGGTGGTGACAAAGCTATAGTATCTCATCTTGTGTCCCCTTCTAATATCAACACTAGAGGACCGAATGGATGTACACCCATAATGACAGCAGCTGTCAATGGACACCAAAGTATGTTTGACCTCCTGGTAGCAAAGGAAGCTGACCTGTCACTGGTGAACAACAATGGTGATAGTTTACTTCATCTTGCCTGTCAGGGTGGTAACAAAGCTATAGTACAACATCTTGTGTCACCTTCTAATATCAACACTATAGGACAGAAGGGATGTACACCCATAATGATAGCAGCTGCCAGTGGACACCAAAGTGTGTTTGACCTCCTGGTAGCAAAGCAAGCTGACCTGTCGCTGGTGGACAACAATGGTAATAGTTTACTTCATCTTGCCTGTTGGGGTGGTAACAAAGCTATAGTTCAACATCTTGTGTCACCTTCTAATATCAACACTAGAGGACCGAATGGATGTACACCCATAATGATAGCAGCTGTCAAAGGACACCAAAGTGTGTTTGACCTCCTAGTAGCAAAGCAAGCTGACCTGTTATTGGTGAACAACAATGGTAATAGTTTACTTCATCTTGCCTGTGAGGGTGGTGACAAAGCTATAGTACAACATATTGTGTCACCTTCTAATATCAACACTAGAGGACCGAATGGATGTACACCCATAATGATAGCAGCTGCCAGTGGACACCAAAGTGTGTTTGACCTCCTGGTAGCAAAGGAAGCTGACCTGTCACTGGTGAACAACAATGGTGATAGTTTACTTCATCTTGCCTGTGAGGGTGGTGACATAGCTATAGTACAACATCTTGTGTCACCTTCTAATATCAACATTAGAGGACAGGACGGATGGACACCCATAATGATAGCAGCTGCCAATGGACACCAAAGTGTGATTGACCTCCTCTTATCGAAAAATGCTGACCTGACACATTGGATTGCCATCATAATAGTTTTCATAGTTTTGCCTGTCATTCGGTCGCTACGACTTTAGTTCATTAACTGTGTCACCTGCTAACAGTGTTAAACCCGGAAGTTACAGCCCACAGAGAACAAGTTGTTATAATGTGTATGTTTCCTTTCAACTAGCCTCGCAAACATTTTGAACATGAATTGTTCAAGATACCTCTGACATCTCTGAACTCATTTAGAAAGCTGAAAATCTTTAAAATGTGCTTTTAGAGTTTTAGGGGCAAATCAGGATTACCTCCCCCATATTCGTTGGATGAGGGTCAAGTCAAAATATTTAGTTTGTCACATTGACCTTGACCTTGGAGTCTCCGGAACACGCCACTGACATTATCAGATGTCTGCACCATCCTCAGATACAAATGGCCCATAGCACAGTTTGTTGCACATATATCAGTTACCTAGACACATATCTATTTGTTAAACATTTTACCTTATAGATCAAACAAGTCTTAAGAAAATATGGTTCATACTAGTCTGTCTTACAGACCCTGATACAAATTTATCAAATACAGCCCATGCAAGTCTATAATGTTTATACAAGTCTAGATTACAGCAGTATGAGGAAATGAAGAGAATCTCTTGGCTCCTTTTTATTATATTTTTATTAAGATAATTTAACTGTTGTTGATTTTTTCTGTACGATATGTTCATTTCAGAGACTAGATATTAGTCTAGGTTTATACTTGTACATTGTATTCCATCAATACTTATTAATTGAATTTCCGATGTCTGCATTGTAATTCCTACATTCTCTATAGGTAAATTGGGCACATATTAATTGAATTCATTTCCCAATGAAGGTAAAACATTAGGCCACGCCCACCGAAGCGGAGTACTAACCTCACTACGGATTGTCGGGGGAATTCCCTGTCAGCTCACATGTATCATCATGAAATTATCAGACCTAGTAACCGTTCAGTGCGGTTTTTCATTATCAAACATACAACCAATACCGCCATCTTTCACACTCACTGCACAAAGTCAGACATCGCACAATCTCAGTTCCACAAATTTCCTGTCTTCAAGTTTCATTTCATTTCTAACTCAATTTTTTTCCAACTGTGTCTTCCAGTTCTCAGGGAATTAGTATGTTGATCTGACGGCCATTGATTAGATCAGCCGCCTTAAATTCTCCAATCATAATAGCTGCAGTTCTTCATGCCTTGATTGAAAGGTCCTGTGAACTGTGTTTGATATCGATGTTAATTGGCTACTGACTTTGTGGGCGTGTTAAGCTCTGTGCATAAATTAAACAGTCACCTGATTCATGTCATGCCACATTATGTATTTCTACGCCTGGAATGTTAATCAATCTCGTCATATTTGTCTGCTTTGATGTATATAACTGTTTTTTTGATAACACATGTTTTCATTGTCAAATTATATTATAAGGATTGACTGTGTATTTTTGTTTCGGCTCATTGAGGTCTCATAGCGACCAATTTGGGACATCCTTTGTCTGAATGAACATCTAATTACAAAGGCTAATTCCCCTGTAGCCATGACATGTATGTGTCTAAAATTACTTAATTGCCATTACTTATAAGATGCGCATCCCAATTTTCAAACCCCATTGTAATGTACATTGACTGACAGCCATCAAGAACGAGATGTGCAGCTAGGTCACTTCTCATTATTTGTGGGGCGGACGTATAGCCTTGTGGTTAAAAGCGTTCGCTCGTCACGCCGAAGACCTGGGTTCGATTCCCGACATGGGTACAATGTGTGAAGCCTATTTCTGGTGCCCCCCGCCGTGATATTGCTGGAATATTGCTAAAAGCGGCATAAAACCATACTCACTCACTCACTCACTTATTATTAGTGTTGTTTATATCTTAATCCGTTTCATATGACCTTGGCTAAGTCATGGTCCCAAGACGACAAAAATCCATACTCATACTCAAATGAAAGGAAAGTAGCCATCTCACTCCTGAGACTCGGTCACAAAAAGCATTATGCTAAGGTATGCCCATCTTGAATCCATAGCTCATTTGTTACTGGAATGTCGAGACCATACCCCAGTCTGAGCTCGGTTAAAACAAGGAGTGCAGTCTATCTGTTGTAGATCTCCTAAAGCCACTATATGCTCAGCTCCTCGAACGTATATAAACAACACAGCAAAGAAAATTCTACCAATTACTAAAAATGTAACATAAAATCATATCAATACAAAAACAGAATTTTTTTCAATACTAAAACTCACAATAGATATGTGTACCCCACTCATACGCATGGGTCCCAAGAGGGACAGGTCAGCCGAAATTGCTAAGGCAGAAGGCGACCTCTTAAACATCTGAATCAACAACAACAATAACACGAAAAATATGCAGATCCCACCCCAAGCCCTGTTGGGGTTAAGGTCGGTGCTTTGGGTCACCAACACAACAACCACTACAACTAGGTGCTGCCCACACAGTACTTCTTATATAAATCTACCTGTATAAAGCAAACTTGTTTATACTGCAAGCCATCTACTCCTTGTTATCACTTCCTACTAAGAACCATACACCGACCTCTTGCATGTTTTGTTAGTGTGTTGTTTGACGCCGCACTCAGCAATATTCCAGCTAATTGATGGTGTCTTGCATGTATGAATATACAAATAATCTCATCAACGTCACCTCTGCCTGCAAACGATCCAGCCATAGCATTGTTTGCGGTGTGAATCGAAAAAACCTGTGTGCAAACTTCTGTAAGAAATCGGTTTTTTTTATTCATACCTCAATGAACCGAAAAAAGTACACAGTCGATTCTTAATTAACAACTTCAATATCCTTACGAACCTACGAACTATATTTAATTGAACATTAGTAGTATGCAATCATGCATTACACAGTATTAATACAGATTGAAAGATTTCTGGTGTATTTTTTAAAAAATTTCCACAAAAGTTCAAAAGCAGGAATGTTTTGTTAATTAGAGATGTATTTTAGCTCTAGGACATACTGGTTACTGTCAGGTTGAAAAAGAGAGATTCTTATTCCCGATGCGACATTTACTTACTTGTTTTCCTCCATTTGGTCAAAGATATTTATGGAGTAATTAAATGAGTTTATTTTATCTCTGCTTTAAAAAAATATTAAATCCTCTTGAATACTGACTTTTTATCGCAAAATTCACATATTCATTTACCAAGTTAATTTCTTGTGCTCATTTACCTGAAGCGATACGATGTAGAAACGTTTTTTTCTCCAAAATTGGGGGTGTACATATACTGAAGTGTGCATTACACCACAGAAGTCCGTATCTAAAAATAGACGCCCTCATGCATATTCATGACCATCTCCACCCACACGTGTGGAGATGGTCATGAACATGCATGAGAAATATTCAGAATTTTATCAGACATTCTACCATGAATTTGGAAATTGCTCGATTATGATTGGTTAATCAGAGGCTTTTTCAATCACAGTTAACCCCTTCTGATTGAAACAGCTGGTTTGGCGGACGCATGACCGCTGTAGCGTATAATTCTTGCGAATCCTCTACCCCTGTTACATCTTTGCCAATATCCTGTATTTTGGTTTCAGTTACAAAGTTAAAATTTTAAGATTTTCGACAGACGTCCTCTTCACTGTCAATAACACATTTAGTTGTTCCCGAATAGCACCGTAATCACCCAAGCGATGACGTGTGCAATGGCATGAAATTCATAAATAGCAAAAGGCAACAATTCAGCATGTGTCTGATAGATGTGGAAACTTTCATCCGGAATTGAACCCTACCCTACTCGTTGCCATGGAAACGTTTCTAAAAGTGCTAAATATCAAAAGGCACCAGTTCCCTATGTGCCTGGTAGATATGCAAAGTTTTGTAAGAAAGTATACAACGGTTTTTGAGTTACGCTCCGGAAACGAACTCTACCCTATAGAACCTAAGTCCAACTTGTTGCCATGGAAACGTAAAAAATAAAAATTTCTAAGATTCCTTAAAAGCAAAAGGCACCAGTTCACTATGTGCCTGGTAGACATGCAAAGTTTTGTAAGAAAGTATTTAACGGTTTTTGAGTTACGCTCCGGAAACGAACTCTACCCTCTAGAACCCAAGTCCAACTTGTCAACGAAACGTAAAAAATAAAAAATTCTAAAATTCCTAAATAGCAAAAGGCACCAGTTCAGCATGAGTCTGATAGACATGCAAAATTTCGTAGAAAAATATTTAACGGTTTCTGAGTTATGCTCCGGAAACGATTTCGGGACGCACACACGCACACACGGACGCACGGACCGACGGACGGAACCCATTTCTATATCCCCCGCCAACTTCGTTGTAGTATACTGTACATATTGATCCTGGAATGAATCATGGATCGTGTGGACTGTGGTTATGATTAAAGGATGAAATAACAGACACCCATCATTGTTTTATATACCATGTAGAGACAATGAATACTGTGCGTCAATTCTCTGCATGTACATTACGCACATTTGTGCGTCGCATTAAACTGGTTTTTTTTACTATATTAATAATGTGGATTCACATTTAGACTGAACATTTATTGGCCATTAATTAGTTGGGGTTGTGTTCATTTCATGACATGACTTTTTTTGGTACAAAAAAGTAAATATCTTTTTGGTAAATTATTGTTTCGAAAATTGTCCACCATCTCTAAGTAATAATTTAATAAAGCTACACGATACACCTCATTGTATTTAATCTGTCAAGACTGAAAACTAACATTATCTCATTAGAACTAGTGGAAGTTTAATATTGTATTGAATGTTACTCGGGTGCATTACTCTTGAGTCAGTGTCCACCTACTACTGTCAGGTGAGCTATCGCTAGCGGGTGGTCATGCACACTTTGTATCACGTCGACAGAACGGCCAGACTCGCTAAACTATTTCAATGCGAGGACATGAGGACGACAGAATATTTTGTCAATGATAAAAATGAGAGCTGTTGCATATTTACGACAAATGTTGTGCCGCGATCATTTATAAGTTTATCACTGCTGGTCACTGTAACGAATGAGAGAAATATATAATCTTACTTTTACATCAAATATATAGTCAGTTTTGAGTTTTTCTGACTTGTAATTTGTTATGTTGAACTTGCTTGATAGGCTTTGCTGTGCTGGTTATGAATTCAATAGTACTTATTAAGATTCGTACCTACCCACAATGGCTAACCTGTGCCTTTAAATGGTAAAACCAGTTCATATGGAATAAAGCCTCTGTTCAAATATATTCAACCGTTTGTGAATTATTTCAGTTCCAACAAAGCGTCGTTATCTCTCTGGTCCCCCCTTAGTGTGGCCGTGAAAAGTTGCAGAGTTGCAATTACGGCGTAAAATAATATTCATTCAATCCAGCTATTGATTTTTTTATAGCTTAAACTATGTATGTAACGAAATCGATACAACAATCAACAAAACATAATTTCTCACGCTCAGCCATAATAATATTAAATATGAATGTGAATTCGAAGTCGGTTTATCATCCACCCTTATTAGAGGTGCTTTCTGTTGACGGGTTCCATGATGATCGACTTTGTACAACGTTCCGGCCCGTGAAGATCCGGGCTAGAATAGGTCTTCAGCAACCCATGCTTGCCGTAAAAGGCCACTATGCTTGTCGTTAGAGGCGACTAACGGGATCGGGTGGTCAGGCTCGCTGACTTGGTTGATGCATGTCATCGATCCCAAGTGCGTGGATCGATGTTGTTGTCAATCACTGGATTGTCTGGTCCAGACTCGAATACTTACAGACCGCCGTCATATAGCTGGAATATTGCTGAGTGTGGCGTTAAACAACAAACAAACATTGTACAACGTCCTCAATATATATAAAATCAGTGTCCAGTTTCACAAAGCGATCGTAACTACAATCCATCTCAATGACTCAGATTTTACAATCTTCTTAGTTAAAGGGTGAACAGCCATCTCATCAACAAGGACAACGATCTCGCTTGCTGTGAAGTTGGTGCTACGAACGCGTTTGACGCCGACAGAGGTCGACGAATGGAGCGAAACCAAGACGATTGTAAAATCGACGTACATGTATCTCACTAAGGTTGATTGTAGTTACGACCGCTTTGTGGAACGCGACCATGATTTCAGAATAAGCGCGTTTGTTTACTGGAGAAAAGTCCGTTCCCGTGATACGCAAATTAGCCTGTGACAGTGGTGTCATGCGCCGGTGATCACAGCGCCGAAATGTATATGACAAATGAGTACTTCGTTTTCCGAGCTAAACAGGCCAGAGTTACCCCCCTTAGACTAGCCCCCAGTCTGACCACAACGCAAAAATTATCCCAGGGATTACCTTGGAATGTAAACTTTTAAAGTGCTCCAGGAAAATTGGGGAAAACGTCATTATTTTGTTCAAAATTGGGATTTTATATTATTTCTTATTTTTTCAGATTCAGAGGTATTTGAACATTGTAGATCTTTTAAATTTAGAGATAGCTATCAATGCAATAATATAAAATTAAGCATTCATATTTAAACCTCTTCGTCTATATTGGTCTTGTTATCACTGAAATAATTATTGAAAATTTGAACATTTATTATAGAGTGTGTTTTTGGTGGGGAGTGTGTGTGTGTGTTTGGGGGGGGGGGGGGGGGGGGGGGGGTCATAATGTGTGTGAAATACTGTTATATAAAGGCGAGGGGTGAGGATGGGGGTCGGCGAAAGATGACACAGCCCTTAGGCCAATCTCACCGAGCGCTTGTAGGAGCTGCCAAGACAGCAGTTTGGCGTTAGGCCAGCGTTATTTTGACCGTCGGCCCAACGTTGGGCGAACGTTGGCTAAATATCGTAGGGCCAACGTTTCTTGTTTCATAAATGTTTGCCCAACTGAAATGTTTGATCCAATCCCTACATTATGCATGCTGAATTCACTTTGAACTCTTTCCTTTAAGCAACAAGTCAGTGAAATGCACTCTCTCTTGGCAGCATACCTCTGGGTTATTTGATGTAGGGCCAAGAAAAAAAATCAAAATGTTTTTATTACATGTTTAATAAGGTTATATTTTCTAAAACACCTTTCATGTCTGTATGCAAATTGTTCACATATCTTTCAATACTATTAAAAGCTTTTTGATTTTCAAAAGTACTTGCAAATTAAAAACCACCAGTCAATAAGCCCTGCACAAAGCCCCTCTTAATGATGTCAAACATTTGAATTTTTCTTGGCCTTATCCAATACATTCAGCAATGAGGGCTAGCATGATTCCAGCGAAAAAGTCTATGCATCTGATACCTCATAATCCATTTCCTTGAAATCCATGAAAAGTATGATTATGATGGCAACATAATGACAATAGATAATTCTGGTTGAAATTACCTTTATTTATTTGTTCAGTGACAAGTGAGAACTTTCAGTCAGCCCCTCCAGTCCTCAAATGAAGAGTCAGAATAACTAATCACGGGATGATCTTCCTCTATGTCCATGACCTTGAGCCTTGGCCACTGAATAAAACTACAACACACATATAATCTGATAACTTGTGATAAGGGACTTATTTTTAATGTAAGCATACATTGGTTGCCTTCTTCTTTTGGAAAGATATAATTTGATGTCCGAATTACTTGTATGTCTTTAACAAAAATCTTAGCACCCCTCCCCCTCAATATTAAATAGTCAAACATTTAAAAGTGGGAAGGCGGGACTGACAATAACACCATAATACCACTGGATTATAGGAGAAAAAAACATTGAACTGAATTAAAATATATTTCTATATTTTTATTCTTGAAGATGTTTGTTTTTGTTAATGCATCATACATACCGTACCTTTCTTCTATGCACAGTTGTTTGGACATCCACTCCTGCCACAAAACAGAACCAAATCACCTGCAAGAAACACTGAAACCACAAAGTATAACATTCTCAAATAAAACAATACAAATAAATATCATTTACTGACAGTATGATGACACAGGTGTCAGTATTGGCAAATAGTTTTATCACAGCAAATGGAAATCAAATGTAATTATTCTAAAGCATTAACGTTACGTAAGAAAACCTAAACCTTTAATAAGTCTTTGAATGTGTATTTAGAAGTGATACATATAAGGAAGAAAATTTATGGATGTCAACTTCTGAGGTTCACCTGATTAAGGAGTAAGCATATACCCCAAAACGTTGTGTTCCTCATAATAAAGAAGTTGACGTTCATAAATTCTCTTCCTTACAACTTTAATAATTTATGGATAACAACTTCTGGTATATTGCATTTAGTGACGTTTCAATGTAGATTCTTACGCCGTTATCAAGCGGAAGCATGGATGTTGAATATGAATCATAAACTGACCTACGAATAAAAGTGATATTTTTAAAAAAAAAAATATTATTATTATTTTTTTTTGGGGGGGGGGGGGGGGGAGGGGGGGGTTGATAAGAATCATTAAACAAAATAATATTGATATTTTCCGTATTAATATGGCAGGATATATTATGTGTTCTAACAACTGATATGCTAGAAAAATTAACATAATGCAATATATATCTTAGATAAAAATAGACAAAGTCGAAACATCTCTGTAAATATTTATTTACATGATTTCATGACCAATTCGTGCCCAATTTAATTGATACGTTGACTAACTCCCCGCTATAGTTAATAATTGCTGAACATAATAAACAAAAAAGCTTTATGATCAATCCTGAGTCCACTGTTTGGTGATTGAAAACTGAACTCCCTATGTTGCTAACAGCAGTGAAACTCCGGATACCGACCAGTAGGAGTCTGCATGCTATTGATATATCATGTACACGAAATGCTTAGAGTTTCAGTAAGCCTCGTTTTGAATTCAGTTTGCAAAAAGTTTTCCTTTTGACCGTTGTCACAAGCGAAGTTGACTTTTTCACTTAAGTTAGCTTTTCATTTTTAATAAACACACGCGAGAATAATGTTCAGTTACAAATATCGCTTTCAGTGTTTTTTAGATAATCATGTGGTCGCTCGCTGGCCGATGATCTCCCGTTAAACCTTCTAAAGATCGACACTGCAATCTATGCGATACGGCGCACATCACTTTGCACTAACTTGCCCTCACGATCACGACCAGCTATGAGATACTGAGAAACTCGATTTTCTTCGGATGCTGATACGCTAGATCTACATTTTGCAAAGCATCAGCATGACGACTGCCGGACACTTCAGTCGGACAATGGGAGACAACTCTGTCATGAAATTATTGTATCTTTCAGAAAATAAACTGAAGCCGATCCCCTCTATTATCGACGTTGTTGATTAGACTGTTTATTATAAAAAAATACTAATCTGTCTGTTGAAAATTTTAGTGAATAAGTAAGTGAATGTCAGATAAACCTGGAGTTGAGCAACATGCACACACACGGAGCACACGGGACAAATGTTGACGCTGTATGTTGTCTTTTCACGGATGCAAATTAACACTATCAGGATAGCCCCAGTTGGTTGTCATTCATTTTTAATTTTAATTTTAATTTTTAACTTAGGTCTGGGCGTTGTAGTTAGTGCTTGTGTAACTGCGATATTGAATTTGTCGTCATCATTTATTGCATGTTAGATTGATGTAGGTGATCAGTTTTGATTTATCAAACAAGTGGATTTTGAGTCAATGAATAGGTTGCAACTTGCCCATTTCTAGTCCCCTATAGTTTCTGTGTATTTGCAGTGGAGAACTACATGTAGTGTTTGATACTGTAATTGTATGTGCATGATATAATATTAAAGGGGTGTTTCAAGGGTTATTGTTTTGTTCTCTTACACGTATTTCCATTATCGTTTTTTCTTAATTAGATTCTAAACCGTTTTAACCTTGTGGAAGATTAAAGACGTGATAAAAAGGACACAAAGTTAATTCAAATACCGAATGTAGATTACTGATTTTGGACATTGAGCCACTTACCCAGCTCCTCCAATTGGTGTTTTGAAATGTCGCTGTATTGAGCCACTTAGTGACGCATTGTGATTGGTTGTTTCTCATGACGTCACACAATTGTCGCCAGAGTTGCAAGGGAGGAGCGTTTGACTTCACACCAACTCTTGATTCGCCGTGAGTGGCGTGACACTGGCATAGTTGTACGTGAAATGCTATCTTTTATGAATTCCTCACGTCTCTGAAACACTGGTACATCTGTCCTGGACACAATGGCGAGTAAGATCCACATTCCCCAGTCGTACTTTCGAAGACTCAGGAAGTGGTGTTCTCGGCAGGTCCGGAGATTCTGCTGCACATCTCGAGTAGCGGAAGGTTTCATAATGTTTTTTCTGTGTCATCGTAGTGTAGTCGTTATGTAACAGTATTTGCACACACGGTTTTAAGTGTTAACAAAAGTATTTAAAATGCTCTCGTCTTCGAACCATAATGTTTTCATGTCTCATGACCTTTTCCGTACCCTTGTCTCACCACATCCACGTCGACCGAACGTTCGATGCCCTCAGAAACACGCTGAAATATATGTATTTGTCTCCACTTTACAAATAAAAGCTGAAATGTGTCCTCGTGGCACAGTCACAAGTGAAGATGTCAACTTGTCCAGGTCCTGAAGAAACAGTTTATCCCGTGTTCTACAACAATATTATTTCGTGAAGATTCCGGGGTAGAATAGGTCTTCAGCAACCCATGCTTGTCGTAAAAGGTGACTATGCTTGTCGTAAAAGGTGACTAACGGGATCGGGTGGTCAGGCTCGCTGACTTGGTTGATGCATGTCATCGGTCCCAATTGCGTGAATCGATGGATTCGATGCTCATGATTTCAATCAATGGATTGTCTGGTCCAGACTCGATTATTTACAGACCGCCGTCATATAGCTGGAATATTGCTGAGTGAGGCGTTAAACAACAAACAAAACCCAAACCTACAACAGTATTAGGCCTAGTCGTCGTCAAATACCGTTTTAAGAGCGGGAACCGATTTGTTTGAAGGATTCGATGCTTTACCAGTTGTTATTTGTAGTTGTCGTGTAGTGGTATATGTTGTAGTCGTCAGTCTTGACAACTGTAACTAACTAATACTTTATAATGATAACATAAACAATACTGCGATAACGCTCAAAGCTCGCTGCTGGAACAGCAAAGAACCATTCAACAATGAGAACGTAGTCTTTACAGCATTTCTGATATCAGCCGAGCATACAGTAAAGTAACAGTAACAGATAACTGATACTATGATAATTGTTTTGAAGGATGACGGGGGCGATTATTACAAAGAGACACAGATCAAAGAACTTCCTACAAGCTCCCTGAATGGGTATGTCGCACTCCCTTATACGAAACTGACCTAATTATAAACTGCTGTCTTTTCCTCGAGAGATAAAGGTTAGGGCATCTAGTATGTTTTACAATAACGCTATGGTGCCATGATTCCCCGCCATTCGGATGTTTATTTTAGCCGTCAGAACTAAAACAGTAATGTAAACTTTTGTTTTTTCAAATCGATATAGTATTCTTGTAACAATGTAGTTTCATACGTCATAATGATACGATACTCCATCACTGAAACTAAGCGTCTCTCTCTTCACATTGAAGGTCCCAGAAGCCTATACTGGACTTAAGGAGCTTCCTTACCCCCACCCCAGGGGATTACAGCTCAGACCCTCGGGCTACTGCTTGTGGATGTGGTACCCCGGCCGGGGAACATCCTCTCCTCTCATCAAGATCTGCGCACACAGCCCAGACCGCCAGGGAACTCCCACCCACGTCCAGCCAGTCAGCTACAGAGGTCAAGGACACGGTGGAAGTGTCCGGTCAGCCTGAATGCATATTTCGATGAAGGAATTTAAACAATGCTTTTTGTATTGGAGAACAACTTCGAAATGCCACTCTTTAAAAGTTACTTCTGTGAATAAAAGTTCTTGTTTCTTTTCTTTCAGATCTCGACATCCAGGAACCCAGTGCACCTCGGTGGCATTCAGCGCCATTGTTGCCAGTGCGGTTGTTCCTGCTGGTCTGTGGACTCCAGCTACACTGGACGGGGTCCTCGTCATGGGGGACCGTCTTCATGACGCGATCCTCGACACCATGGGAAGCTGGGCTCCTCTCAGCAAACATCTGGCAGCAGACGAGATGATGGAGGAGCCAGAAGACTCCCAGTCGAGATGGCCTGTCCGGTGCGGCCGAGTCTGCGAGATGCAGGGACTTCTGTACCCTGGCAGCATGGACTCGAACTCCCTAACGTGTCAGTTGACCTGGGAGTGGATGCCAGGCCAGCCCCTCAGGGAGTTTGGGGATGCTGTGGGGAGGGTGTTTAAGGCCCAGGACTGTCAGGGAGCCATTATCACCTTTGATGGCAGAAGCTCGGCCTTGCTGCAGGACCCTGCTGGTGGCTGGATGGTTGTCGACAGCCATGTCAAGGATATTTTAGGCGCCACTGACGTTGATGGGAAGTCGAGCCTTCTGATGTTTCCTTCCCTGAGTCAAGTGGTGGCTTATTACAGTGGCATGGCAGTAAGACCCACTCAGTATTCGCTGACAGGGTTCAAGGTCGAGTCGATGTCAGAAGGGGGATAACTTCCCTGGTAGTACCCTCCCCAGCGTTCGGTTTGACTGCCACCTTGAGGAGCATCTGTCCCTCTGTGACAATGAAAAAGGACACGATCTCTGGTGGCCACATCAAGGTGCATTTGTCCTCCTTCAGAGCAAGGGCAGAACATGGCTTGATTATGACTGATTGGGCACGATATGCACACTGTTATAGTAGTCTCAACATGCAAGGCCAGCACTTGATGCTACCTCATTGAACACAGGCTGGACACGTGTGGTAGTAACAGCATGCACGGTCAGCTAAGAGACACTTACAGCCTGAAGACTACAACCAGCATTTCTCCTAAAGGGAGGAACAGGCACACGAGTTGATGGAGAACAGGTTTATTTGTTAACGAGATTTTAATGGAGCACAGGCTGAACATTGACAGCATGCTGGGATACGAGTAACTGCCACGCTGAAGGCCCAAAACAAGAGACACAAAGTGGTCCCACCTGGTGAGGGCTGTTGAACACAGATGTGACACAGACATCAAGCAAGTCCTGATGAGGATGCGGGTGACATCCGTTCACTCATCTGATTCAGGCGTCATGACAAACAAAAGTGGAAAAACAAACTTCTGTTACCATTGTAAATTTGATTTGATTTGTCGTTATTGTTTGTTTTTTATGTTTTTCATCAATTGTATGTTAAATTGTGTCCATTCATAACTCATCAACTCTTTTGTTTCAATACAATAAATTTTAATGAAAAAAGAGTTGCTTTAATAATTACTGTAGAGTGTGGTGAATAAGAAAAAAAATTCTCATTGCGATAAGCTTGAGGTAGACTGAATTCCCACATGTAAATACAATACTCATTATATATAAAGATTAATGTTTCAAAAGACGATAATGTCCCCAGCATCCTATGTTAGCCGTAAGAGGAGACTAAATGGATCGGATGGTTAGACTCGGTGACTTGGTACAAACATAGCATATGGAAATATAATTACCTTTGTAAGAATAATGGCATTAGGAATCTTTAATATATGAAACTTCCAGGAATAGGAAACACTGCAGAACACTGGAGTTACCTCCCTTGGCAGAATACCCGGGACGCCAGTCTTACAAAGATCACCTCCCACGTTAATACGTTAATATCCTCTATTCCTTGTGTCATGTTCTCATGTCATACGAGGATTCCGGATGATACAAGATCCCAGGTACGCCATGCTTGCAAGAGCCTACGTGTCATCTGGATTCCACAGTGTGGATTGTTACACAACATATCAAACCACAGGAACTCGTTATTGGTCAATAAATATACATTTATATAGAGTTTCATTTACTGACCAATAACGAATTCCTGTGTATGAAACATTGGCATGTCGCGCTCAGACACCAACATTGCTGACTGCGGCGTTAAACAACATTCACTTGCTGAACGTGGTGCTGAAGGCAATATACAATATTTATTGAGTATGCATCAATCTGTCGAGCCAGCCACGATTTATCGCGGTCAAATATGATAATATATTTTACAGGCGGTGGGGTAGCCTAGTTGTTTAAGCCTTGTCTCGTTACGCCGATGACCCAGGCTTGGCTGTGTGGAGCCTATTTCTGGTGTCCCGACCGTGAATTTGCCATGATCACATTGAATGAGTAAGAGAGTGATTTTACGCCTTTTTTTAGCAATATTCCAGCATTATCATGGCGGGGGACACCAGAAATGGGCTTCACACATTGTACCCATGTCGGGAATCAAACCCGGGTCTTCGGCGTGAACAGCGAAACATGCAAGATCGAAATATGTAAAAACAAAGAGGGAATGAAGCCTTTTTCTAAGTGTATTTTTGAGAACAAGTTAAACATTATGTATTCCTGCTTCTAACATGATATCTTCATTCTATAAAACATACAGATAAACGTGTTATCTGGTCCGCGAAAGATGCTTTTCAAATCACCCTAAGTGTTCCTGCATCGCTGTGCAAGCATCCCCATGTTAACGGGCTCTATGACTCGTAATCCCCATGTCAACGAGCTCTATGACTCGCACACAAACACACACTCGGAAACGGACAAGACACATTTGAGTAAGGCACGTTTCCCGCCACAGCCTAATACAGCCCCGGATCACTTAATATGATTGATCTTCAGTGTCGTGTTGAAGTACAAGGATTGATCTGCTAGACTTGCCAAACGGCCGTGACAGAATAATTGGAATATAACTTTGAAATAAAATTCTTTTTTTCTTTTAAAGATTTCGTTTTTACATAAAAATTTGGGTTCTTCTTAGGTGTAATTTTGCAAATCGTTTTTCTCACTCTTCTAACAGCGGAACCCAAGGCGTTTAAATGATGCGCAGACGAGCGAAGATATGTGTTCAATCACGAACAATTGGTGATTAGAACACTTTGACCTGTTAAATAAGTGTTACACTTCAAGGTGTCTTATTCCTTGGCTTAGGTTTACAGTTGCTCAGTGAGTGTGTTTGGTTTTACGCTTCTTTGAACAGTGGTCAACTTGGTGTGGAATCTGGTATTCAAGCCCACGATCAGTGGATACTGACACTCTCAAGGGACGTAATTCTGCACAGAGACTACACAGAGATGGCGCCTCTGATCGCTGGGCGTGAACCAAGTGGTGTATTGTATCGCGACCTTCCTTCGTGATAAATGAGTGAGTAAGTTGGGTTTAACGCCGCTTTAAACAGTTTTCAAGTTATATCACGACGTGTCAGCTTAATGTGGGAGGAAAGCCCGAAGTGAGGGAGGTCTCAGACGTTCAACCCTTTGGTGAAACCCAGGAGCACGGGCATGGTGATGCCAAACCTAGAAACAAATCGGTACGAACCGGGATTCGAACCCACAATCAAAACGTTTGTGACGTGCCTAAGGGACGCCACTCTGCACAGCGAATTGCGGCGCCTTGGACGACAGGTTACCCGTGCCCTTTGTCATAAGTACCGTCTTAGGTGCACTATACAGATAACATTGTAATCCGGATGTGCACAAATTTCCATGTTGAGAAAAAATTACAGTTGACACTGGGCAGCCTATTATGCCACGGACAACGCTACACTGTGGATTGTATTTACAAATTTATTACCAAAACAGTACAATGCTTAAACATTTTCAATATGAAAGATCGAAAATAAACATCGCTAGATGTAACGCATTTTCACCCATGCGAAAACTTCTACCAATATCTACATTCCTGAACTAGACTATAGGTATGTTGAAAACCGAGAGCCATAAAGATCGACATGGTGTGTTCTGAAAGTCCGATATCTATTCTTGTATACTCGTCATCATTAACTCCTCGACCCTGCATTCACACAAAATAGATAAGGAAATGTGCTTATATTGTCTATACACCACGAAGATTCATTTGGAAGCAAGATCAATGTGGCTCACAGTTTAAATGAAAATGCATGTACAGATCAATAGGGCGGCGTCATGAAAAGCTCGAGACGTTCCGAATGTTTGACGAGGCTGGTCATTCGGCAGATCATCGGCAACATCCGGTTGAGGTCGGATTCGTCACGTGAACATTTTAAAAAACTACTCTTGTGTATGGTATTATATATATATCAATAACAAAAACAGCTTGAGACTGACATGCAATCAGATCTAAGTGAAGTAAAGTCCCGATTCGGGGCCAGAAAGGGATAATGCTCAGGCCCTGATTTCGTAAAACAAACTCTTGTAGCCTCAAGTGATATGTACATTACGATAAATGACATAAAAGAGAAAATGACAGTATCTAACAATATTTATTTAGTAACGTCTGGTTATATTTTTTGGAATCCATTTATATATATATATTCCACTGAATGATGTATCGGAGTCCTGTTCTATAGTTTTAGTATAGATTTCCTTTTCTACTTATATAGGCATTTAGTTCAATCTATTTTGTTCGTTCCGTCTTTATTGTCTGGGGTCTGTGGTTCTGGGTTGCAATATCCAATAAGGAAATGCAACGAGAATGGTTATCAATGCGAATAATCGTCATTAAAACAGTTAAAAATCTGCAACTAGAAACAAACAAAGACATGGTTTATAAACTGCATTATTAATAACAAATATCGATGATATATAAGTACAATATATAAAAAGGGATCTGTTCGCCTACAAGAAGTAATACATGTTTAATTTGGGGCATTTAATAAATATGTTCTGACAATCGCTGAATGGTATTCTTTTTAAAACGAAATAATACGTTTGAGTTTTGGAATAACAACATCGTGTCAAGATTGACCAATGGATCAACTTAAACTTGTCAAAAGCCGGTTCTAGGAGAGCATTTAAGAACATTCTAATACAACTATTTTCGTCAAGAATGACCAATGGATCAACTTAAACTTATCAAAGGCCGGTTCTAGGAGAGCATTTAAAAACATTCTAATACAACTATTTTCTCAATCCAAACTTATTATTTATTTATGTATTTTCTATGTAGAAAAAAATACTTTATTACATACACTTTATATTTTATCTGGGGTGATGGACATGCACGTTGATAGTCATATCGCTGGTATATACATACTCAGCTTCACTATTGCTAGTGTGGTATGTGTTATACACGTTGTTCTCAAGGTTAAAGGGTAAACCGGTCGTGATCATAACCGAGGTAGTCAAATACACTCACTGAACTAATGATATGGTGACTGTGAAATAAAAAATGTTAGGGGTGGACATAAAGACATTCAGAGCGCTTTTTAATCCAAAACGAGGCTTACATTATCGTTCTATTTTTAGCGTCGCAACAATTGGTTATTATGTATTTCTAATTGGTTGTATAAGGCTGGTGTCGTGTGCAGAAGGGCATTCCATTGTGACGTGTCAGGTCACGTGTTACTTTAGAACTTCAAGGCACTGATTATCTCTCAATGGCTTCCTTTAGGTATGTCTACAGCTTTTTGCCAGTTAAGTACCCGGGTCGTTTTATCTTTGAACTTTCTGTATTGAGTTGCATAACGTTGGTGGTGCCCATTTCAAGACGGGGTAGATGATGATGTAAATATGGTCATCATTAGCTTTGGAATGATTTGATCGGTGTGATAGGTTTGAGCAGGGCAACAACATGGAGTTTGAATGATCTGAATAGTCTTGTATGGATGGACTGGCCACTACCTCGAACCAAGTATCCGTAAAGTCGTCAACATTCCACGGTTTGGTGAATTTTACTATCTCCATAATCTTGATCTGGGTGAAATTTAGAAGTGGCCTGTTTTACAGTGTCAGACATCGCGGTAATCAGTTACTGAGAGAATGATCTAAATAATTAAAATGTTTACAGACATTGTCGTTTGAAAAAACAGGATTCAAAGCCACCAGGACTTCCACGCTTGCACTTTCTGAAACAATTATGTCGATTACCATTAGAATTAAAATGTCAAATCTGGACTAAATATGTGTTCATGGGAGACGCCCATGAAGACTTGGGTTGCTGGACTTTCCAGGCTCAATATACACATCTCTAGTTTATCAGCGATCACACTTGGTGTTCAGAGCCTCGTGACATCGTCCACTGGTTGCTTGGTTTCTACTACGCTCACGCCATTGGATGCAGGCGTAATGACGTCATTTCCGATTGGGGTTTTCTCCGAGATAGTTGTGATAGAAGGTTGATAAGTGAACGCTTCTTTTTTAGCGTTAATTTTCGCCTGACGTTGTTTCTCAGCCTCTTCGTATGATTCTAATTCACGGTCATGCGCCCTTTGGGCGTAGGTTTTCTGAAAAAAGTAGATATATTTACATCAGTGTCGGGTGAATTGCATAATCAGCATGTACGTGACCATGAGTATTCAAATAGCACACGCTGTGTTGTATCCACAGTTCAGGTCAACTACATGTGTTTCAGTGTCAGTCGACCGCCTCCGTGGTCCAGTGGTAGAGCGTCCGCCCGGAGAGCGGAAGGTCCGGGGTTCGATCCCCGACCGCGTCATACCAAAAGACGTTAAAAGATGGTACTTGTTGTTACCCTGTCTGGCGCTCGGCATTAAGGGGCTAAAACAAGGACAGGTCGGTTCGGAGTCAGTATACTGTGTTTGAGTGGGGTATTCATGTTAAACTGCGGCATGGTATCTCAGTGAGCTAGCACTATAAATCGCCATCAGTCCGGACTAGTACAAGCAGCCACACACGTGCATTGATTTTCAGCTTATCATGCTTGTTGTAAGAGGCGACTAACGGGATCGGGTGGTCAGGCTCGCTGTTTTCTTTCCCCCTTCACGGAATATCAAATGGCCAGTCCCCTTGTTAAAGTGTGTAGCATCTGACTTACGCTGACGCTGCTACAGGCACAGAAGGACAGCAGAAGCCCGAAGAGGCAGAAGGCGGTGGCCGCCCCTCCCGACACCAGATGCATGATGAGGAGAGCGGGGCGGTCACAAGCACCAATGCGGTATATGTCGCTGCAACGACGCAAACATAAGAGATGAAATACAAAATACATATTAACTATACATCGTCTTGGTATACATTGTTTGTAAATGTTGGCTACTTAACTCTCATGTCGTGTATAAGTATATTATGATAATGTCAGCAACAACAAATATGCGCCATTATATACAGTGAAGTACGGTTATAACGAACTCAAAGGGACTACTAGTTTTAGTTCGTTATAAGCATATATACAGCTTAACTACAGCAAATAGTCGGGACCAAAAAAGTAAGTTCGTTATATCCGTAAGTTCGTTATAAGCGTGTTCGTTATAACCGTAGTTTACTGAACATGTATCACCAACCCCCACATCATTACATTCTGCTATTCACTATCACCAGGTGGGTTAAAACTGTACGTACAACTATTAAGACTGTACTGATAACAATTTATACTGTACCAACCACTATTAAAACTACCAACAACCATTATTAAAACTGTATCAACAACTATTAAGTTGTATAAACAACAATTAAAATTGTACCAACAAATATTAAAACTGTACCAACAACACCATTAAAACCGTACCAACTATTAAAACTGTACTAGTAACCATTAAAACTGTTCCAACCACTATTAAACCTGCATAAAACCTGCTATTAAATTTGTACCACCTACAACTATTAAAAGTGTACCAACAACTTTTAAAGTGTACCAACAACTATTAAAACTGTACCAACAACTATTAAAACTGTATAAACTGTATAAACAACTATTAAAACTGTACCAACAACTATTGAAACTGTATAAACAACTATTAAAACTGCATAAACAACTATTAAATTTGTACCACCAACAACTTTTAAAATTGTACCAACAACTATCAAAGTGTACCAACAACTTTTAAACCTGCATAAACAACTATTAAATTTGTACCACCCACAACTATTAAAAGTGTAGCAACAACTATTAAAACTTTACCAACAACTTTCAAAACTGTACCAACAACTATTAAAACTGTACCAATAACGCTAATAAAATTGTGCTGCTAACACGATTAAAACTGTACCAACTACTATTGTCCCGACAACCATTTTTCAAATGTTCCAACAAATATTAAAAGTGTAACATCAACAATCAAAACTGTACCAGCATTTACAAATAAATGTACGACTATGCACCCATTCCTTTTACATGTGCTATGCGTGAAGCCGGGGATGTCACACATGTGCCCCTTGTCATAAGATCCTAAAAGATTGTCAGAATCAGTGATTCATCATCCTGTGGTTTTGGTAGTAAAGCCGTCCGAATATTTATTGATACTTACGTGCAGTTTGAGTTATTGAAATACACCGGTTCAATGGAGTAACCATAGCAACTGCCTCCAGCCAGCAACGCCGCGAACATGATGCCGACGTGGACAGAGACCTGAAAACACGTGACAAATACGTGAGGGTTGATTGTTAAGGTTCGATGGGTACTGGGGATATCCAAGATATCCCCCCCCCCCCCCCCCCCCATCCCCTTCCCTAGTTTTACTTTTTCCTGAACATTTTCTACCCCTTGAAGAAATTATTCACGACGCATTGGCTCAAACACGTTTTTTTCAACTCACTGATGTTCTGTGGCGCTTGAACGCAACTGCCGTCCCCGAAATGCCCGGGAATATGAACTGAAATGACAAAAAGGATTACACGCTAAAAGTATATTTAAAGGCAGACATCGAGCGCTTATCGTCCTATTTTCAGCGTCTTCGGTTTTCTCTCTATGTCCAATGTGGTAGTTAAGAGTTCCTTTAGAGGAATGCTCGTATTGCAGATTAGACCCTTTAGCAAACATCCGCACTGCTATATATGAGCAGAGCTCATTAGGTAAGCATCCCTTGACGTGTAGACTCCAGAATCGAATAGAGACCATTGACCACAGCAGGGGTGCCAGTGGAGTGAGTGAGTGAGTGAGTGAGTATGGTTTTACGCCGCTTTTAGCAATGTTCCAGCAATATCACGGCGGGGGACACCAGAAATGGGCTTCACACATTGTACCCATGTTGGGAATCGAACCCGGGTCTTCGGCGTGACGAGAGAACGCTTTAACCACTAGGCTACCCGACCGCCCCTTGTGCCAGTGGAGACACCTGAGAATAGCATGGGTCTCACTGGAGACACTGAGAACAGCATGGGTCTCACTGGAGACACTGAGAACAGCACGGGTCTTACTGGAGACCAATGTATATATAAAATACCCAAAACACAAGGTCGTGTTTCGTTATGCTGTCGTAATAAGGCAATATCCTTTCGTTGATATTAGTAACTATTATTCAAAGGGGATAGGAGTTTCTTTCAGTAATTCTCACCAAGAAATATAATGCAGCTAATTGACACCTATTCTTCAATCGGCTGTTCTGCCCCATGTCAATTTACAAATTAAACTATTAATAATTTGTAAACATCGTGGCATTTTATTGACTAACCAATCAGTTTATTTGTTATCTCTCCACAAAACCCGTGAAGATCCGGGGTAGAATAGGTCTTCAGTAACCCATGCTTGCCGTAAAAGGCGACTAACGGGATCGGGTGGTCAGGCTCGCTGACTTTGTTGATGTTTTAAAACTAATATCTTTTAAAGTTGGTTGATGACATGTGTTGTCACAAAAGTTTGAGCGAACAGTGTGTAAGTCACAACTAATAAAGACTAACAACGTCCAACAATTAAAGAAATGTTTTTCTCCTATTGGTAGTCTTGGTCACTCATTTCACCACCAGGACCCGTGAAGATTCCGGGGTAGAATAGCTCTTCAGCCCATACTTGCCGTAAAAGGCGACTATGCTTGTCGTAAAAGGCGACTAACGGGATCGGGTGGTCAGGCTTGCTGACTTGGTTGATACATGTCATCGATCCCAATTGCGTGGATCGATGCTCATGATGTCATTGACTGGATTGTCTGGTCCAGACTCGATTATTTACAGAAAGCCGTCATATAGCTAAAATATTGCTGAGTTATTGCGTTAAACAACAAACAAAACAAAAACAAACTCTCCACAAAACGGAAAGAAATATAGCCACGTACACAAACTGACGACTGTTTCGTGACTGCCTGATAACAGGTTGAGCGGGGCCTATGTTGCACTATTCTGCTGAACAATGTTTCTGACTTCCTACTGTTGTCTACCGTGTTTTTGTGTTAAGGATTGAATAACCAATCTATGAAGTTGTTATTGTTAACGTTTTTATTCGTATCAATTAATATGTGTTAATGGAGGCATAAACGTCAAAAACCGATGTGCAGATAAGGAGGCAAGTGCGTAATACCAGTTTTTATATTTATACCTCCATAAAAGCTAAAACATATTGATGTCAATTCTTAAACAACTCTTATCAAAGAGTGAGTGAAAGGAATATAACGCACGGCTTAGACTTACGCTTCGTCTCTGAAAAAATATATTTTGGATAGAAACAATCAACTACATTTAAATTTAACAAATGTTATATTTGGGATAACACTTTCTTTGTAAAGTACAGATTCTCGCACATTTCAACTCAACCAAAAGTTACGAGAACCTGTATTTTACAAAGAAATGGTTATCTCAAATATGACATTTGTTACATTTGACAACTTTCTAAATGGCATTGTGTGTTCATACATTTAAATTGAAATGGAGCCCCAGTGAGATGGGACCGGAACGTGTGGCCAGTCTAGACTTGCTCCATTTAGGGCTGCAGCATTACAGTTGCTACGGAAAATAAGCAGAAGGGAAAACAATACGGTTCAGGGACTGTTAGAAAGACTACTTGGGTCACCGTGTTCCGCGTGTGGTGGGTGATATGAATTGCATGCGAATATAGCACATACACACCAAAGTATATAATGAGAAATAAGTATGCTTCGCAGTGTACAACGCGCTCCTTAATTTATGTCTGTCTCGGAAAAAACACGGGATTTAACTTAAGGCTCTGTAGTAACGTCACGTTTTGTCTTCGGCGAGTCATGGGACTCGTCATCTTTCCCGGACAGCCTAATTCCTCCCTGTGTGATGTGGATAACTGTATCGGCCCGGTCACGTACATAGGACGATATAAAGCATTCATCACACAGCGGCATAACCTGACGCCGCCGTCACCGTGACTGTCATAATGCGACACAAAAGGGATCGGACTTTGTACAGACTGGCTAGATAATATATCAAACCCGTTTCATGTTTTTGTTTTGTGGAGTAAAGTTGTTCAGGGTAGAATGAGTGAGTGAATGATAGAGTGAGCGAGTGCGAATGCCGCTTTCAGCAATATTCCAGAAATATTACTACGGGGCTTCACACATTGTTCCCATGTGGTATCATGTGGGGAATTGAACCCGGGTCTTCGGCATGACGAGCGAACGCGTAATCCACAAGGCTTTCCTATCGCCCCTATTCAAGCTATAGACCCGTGAAGATCCGGGATAGAATAGGTCTTCAGCAACCCATACTTGTCGTAAAAGGCGACTATGCTTGTCGTTAAAGGCGACGAACGTGATCGGGTGGTCAGGGCTCGCTGACTTGGTTGATGCATGTCATCGTTTCCCATTTGCGTGGATCGATGCTCATGATGTCAATCACGCGGCGTTAAACAACAAACCAACTATTTAAAATATAAGATAGGTCCGATGTTTGACTGCGTGAGATGCCGGTCACAATCATTCCATGGTGGTACTCATGATATCGACCACTGGTTTTCAAGTCTCGATGTTTTTATATGCCGTCATGATATATTCTGTACGTTTATTTACTCATTCCTTTGCACTCATCACGACCTTGTTTTGGATCATACTCATAGACACTGGAAGCAAGACACAGCAAGTATGTTTCAACTGATTGTATATCTTGACCTATGGCTGTAAAAATGTACACCCCACTCACGTGTCAGTTTATGAAGTCACAGCCCGGCCCCACTAACGTGGTCATTTTACGACAATGACGACCGCATATCCATATTCACTTTAGTCGCATATAAATCAAAGAAATGTCAATAAAGCAAACATTCTGTGTCGATTTAACATGTATCGTTTATGAAAACTTAGGCCTTGCAAAACAATCTGGCTTTCCGATAGACTTAAAGTCTCCCAACATAGATCTTATACTGTCCTCGGCAAAGTATTGCTCTTTCTCAAGTATTCAACCAATACATATATCTTGGAATCCCTTTATAAAATCTGTAGCAATATAACTCTCGAATGTGACACAACCATCGCGGAAACGTGACCTTGACCTTGCGCCATGTTTAATCGGCAATCAATGCAACTAAAAGGCAAAGCAATATCAAATGTATTGACTTCAGCGTCATCCTCACGAGTTTCTCTTAATATTGGTTATTGATGCTAACATTTTAGGTTCATGGTTATATATATAGATATAGATATATATATATATATAGATATATATATATATATATATATATATATATATATATATATATATATATATATATATATATATATATATATATATTTTAAATGTGTGTTTTTAACCTGTTATATTTGATGATTGGAAAAGAATTGAACAGCTCTGGTGGGCCTCCATTTGGCCAGTACTGTTGGCTTTTGTGCAAGCTAATTTTCTCCCGCATGCCCTGTAAAGTATTCCTGTCTTGCAGTGGACATTGACACATGGCGAGGGCATCTGACGGGGTATCGGGGCACGCACTAAGGGATAGTTTCACAAGGGAAAGTATGTACCTTGCAAAGAGTACCTCGGTGAATACGATGAAAACACACGCCTATATAGAATATCTATATGTCGTAAAGTAAAGACATTAGGTATTTTCTTTCTCTTTTACGCCCATTAATCTAATTTAACACGCGGTTTAGGACAAGGGCGGATAACTCTAAACAGATCTAAGGGAACATCCATTTGATTTGTCAGGAGGGGGTGGTTTCGAGAACAATCCTGTTTTTTGACTAGCTGTTTATTTATTGAGCACCATCAAACAATATATTCATTTCCATAATTAACACAACAATTTTGACGTTAAGGGATTTTCCACAAACAAGGAAAGAAATAATTTACTACACCACTGCTAACAAACTATTCGTTTTTCTGAGCAAACCTTTCATTAAATAATCTCTCCCCAACAGTAATAAAATGGATGCTCCCTAATGGCATTTGTCACCATTCGCATCTATTCGGTTCAATTACTTCGGCCAAAGAATCCCTCAGAACTAATTTTTGATTTTACATATGTCTTGCATTTATAAATATACCCAAGATACATCAAAATGTGTTCAACTATATTGTATAATAATGTAAGTCCTAATGTGTTTTCAGTAGCATCGGGAATATATATCACATATGGGGGAAATATACGTGAATCATTACCCAACGAGTTGACAATTCTTTTAGCGATGCCCGTTTGCGCTTAGACGGAATCCAGTCGCAAAAAGGCCACGAAAGATGCAGGAGTCGCTATTCGACTTGTCCCGGAATAACACGAGCTGGTCACGAATACTTTCCGTAACAAAAAAATGCCTTTCGGCCTTTCCCGTTAAAACTCGAGTTGGTCACGAACGACATTAAAGGACACGGCGACTGTACTGTTGATCTAATTTGCACTCATTGTTAAAAATTGACTTAATATATATCATAGATAAGGACATATATATATATATATATATATACTACTATGTGCCGTCCTCCTTAGTGT